CGTGCTGCTGCCCGTCGGAGTTGTCCATCTTTGCTGTTCAAGAACGGCACCATGAGTAAGGGCACCTCAGCATTGAGTTTAAATCCGCTCTCTTCCCAGATCTCCATTCCGAGCTCTTGATTTTCTTCAATATCATCATGGCTTGCAAGCCAAATCTCGCTGCTGTAGCCGAGTTCACTCATATCAATGTCTGCACTAATGGACTGCAAAACAGCGGTTCTGACGTTTGCTTGTGGTACTGTAACTCCCCGAGCAAGGACCAGCATTTCATCAGCAGTGATGTTAGGTGCGATGCATCGGCAGATGTCAGAAAAGCAGTCTTTGATGATTTTGTAATGTTGAGCATGGCTTTGCATTGATTGGATAAGGACATCCAGGAGTTCTGTGCGAGGTATTGACTCATCAGCAAAAGTAATGCTGTGAAATGAGATAAACTCGACGGCCAGCACGATTTGGGTATCCCGATCATCTAAGGTCTCTCCAACACCCCCCTCTCTCAAGACATGAAAGAGGAGTGGGAAGATGTATATTAATGATACCGCATCAAAGGGCCGCTGCTCACCAGCAAAGCGGAGGCGATAGAGTACCCTTGTTGCAAGGTCGGCGAGTGATTCGTCTCCATAGGTCCCCTCCAAGGATAGGCCTCGGAGCCTGAGTGTGGCAATTCCAATAGCAGGGCGAGTTGCTCCCAGCCTAGAACTCACTTTCTCAGCGCAGGTGATGTAGACTTTGGAGGCGGCATCGCCTATAATGAGGTTCGCGCCAGCTTCCATAACAGCAAGAAGTGAGTTGATGGCTGAACCAAGCCAAAGTGACGCATCAGTGGGTGGTCCAACCGCCAAGGAGTGTATAATCCCGATGCTGCGGAGAAGTTTGGCTTCGATTGATTGGACTGATGCTCGTATCTGAGCCTCTTTCTTCAACTGAGCGTTCACTTTAGACGTTTCCTCAGCAGTGAGCTTTCTTTGTGGGCCCTTCTTTTTCTCAAGTTGGTCTCTCAGTTCCTTTTCCCATTTCACGATGTCGTAATCCTTGGTATTCTTATTCGGAGTGTCGTTTTGGCCCTTTTTGCTCAGTACATCCACGAAGCAGGTACCTTCTTGAGTTCTAAAAATTGCAGCGTCAACTGGTCCAATTGCCTTTACCGGTTGCGGATCTAGATCTTGGGTTATAAGATCTATCAGCCGAGGGATGATAGTTTCTGGAGCAACGAAGGCCAATTCTGCTGCTGCATTGTATGCAGCAATCCGAATAACATCGACCTATGATTATACTTGTCAGTGCCGGTTCTACTCTTGAGAGATACAGACACTCGTACCTTTTGATTGACCGACGTACGCTCGCTAATCTCATTCAGTAATATGTCGGCATATTTTTCGGCAAGTTTTCCAGGGTCAACTCCCATTCGAATACAGGAGTCTATCCAATTGGCTCGCGATATCAGCTCTGTACGGCAGATAATGAGTAGGGAGCAAGCTTGCTGCTCCAACATCTCTTGCGAGGCGATACCCCCGAGTGCTTCCAACTCCTTGGAGCTGATACAAATCGACTTTATAACTTTAATCAAATCACGCGTCTCAGTTGTCGAATCTTTATCCCCGACATTGATGGTCTGCGTCAAATGCGCCCACAGGCCATTGATAACGATATCTGCCATAATGCTAGGGTTCTGAGCATAAAGGGAGGTGAGGGATTTGGCACTTTCTTGTCGCACGTTTGATGGTACAGTTGAGACTGTAACTATATATATCATGGCTTCCGACCACGCAAGAACGATCTCTTTCGCGGTATTTGTGCTCAGTCCCGCTGCAACAGAACACAAAGCAAGACGGAACCAATCGAAGTCTTCCTCACTTCCAATCTTACTGAATATTTTGGGGTTCAAAAGAAAGGATTGTGATGAGGCTAGAGCAGGAGATGGCGTCGACAACTTCAATAAATCTGCTTCAACCTTCGAGCCAGTGGACCACTGTTGCAAAACAGGGGTTAGAGCAGTAAGAATATACGCTCCAACAATCGTCCCGCTCTGGGCAGTCAGTGTAGGGTTGGCAACAACTTCACGGAAATTGTCGATAAATTTTGGAATGACAGCTTCCGTGAACGAGGTCAACGCAGCGTTCAAGTCTGGGCCATCTATGGTCCGGAAGACAGAGCCTACACGAAGAAGCCAAATTTTGCGAGTTGTTGCCTTCTTATCTGCCAATCCTTTGAGCAATGCGCTCAGGACGGGCTGCGAGATTTCGCTGTCGCCCTTAATCAATACATTGATGGCTCGACAGAGTGTCAACGTCTCGGCGGCCAAGGCTACATCGTTTCCTTCCTTGCTAGCAACGGCTGCCAAAATAGTAGTCGTCTTTTGGGCATTCGGGCAAGACAGGGGAACAGCTTCTAGCATTTCTGCATGAAGAATGCGCTGATCAGCGGAGGCCAGCTTGCCCGTTTTCAGGGGGTTCCCGATCTCCTCGATAATTTGGTCGACTGAGCCTGCGTTGTGGCATTTTGCAATAATGGCGCGGAAAGAAGAGAGAACTCCGGCGCGTATCAAAGCATTGGTAGATTTGACATTTGAAAGTAACTGCTTCAGGAGCTTGCCGGCCAGCAAGTCTGAGAGATCAAATTCGGTAGGCAAATCTTTCACTAGGCTTTGGAGAACACCGTCCAAAATAACTTCCGGTGTACGAAGCAAGCTTTTCTCCAAAACTGGGGCAACTTGAGTCTGAAGTTCATCAAGTGTTGCAAAGCTTGAGAAGAAATCGCCCAGTCCGGCGGAGATGTGCCCTGATAGCGCAGTCCTAGAGCCCAGGATCTCACGGTTGTAAAACTCGTAATACAGCGGCTTAAGAGTTTCCAGGGTAGGTCGTACTACGGGCCGACGAGCAGCAACTCCGGCAATGACTCCTAGAATAACAGAATTTTTTGCCGTCGGCGTACTGCGTTTGGACGTTAAATTCGTCACAGCATCGGTTAAATTCTCAGGCCCCAGGGTTGGGGAGCTGAAAAGTTTTCGAAAACCTCTTCGAGTGACTATTATGGCTGAGTGTGCCAGCGTGGGCTTCGAAGACGGCCGTAGACATTTCTCCAAGACATCTGCATATGCCAATAGAATTTCACTTCCAACTTCTTTCCATGAAGGTTCGGTTAGGTTTTGAAGCAGAACGCTGCACCACTCGACCAAGACAAAGGCGCTCGACGTAGCAATACCCTGCTTCGAGGACTCTTGTCGTAGAGTTTTCACTAATAGTTGCAGTGTTGAGGAACTAGCCTCTCTCGTGACGATGGATACCAGGCATTTCTGGGCTGCCAGCCGAGACTCGCGGTCCTGGTAAGCTGCATGGGTGTTGAAGAGGAGCTGTAGAGCCTTGGAGGAGAATTCGTCGTCAGATGCTAAGGCAGGAGTCAGCTAACCCGGGATGTATCGAATTGAAGCCAGTGGGATGTTACTTTTCCGAGCCACTGCCTCTCCCACAAGCTGCAGCTCAGCGATGCGCACCGCGGGGGATGACGAGGCTAGAGCCTGGGCAGATAGAGACAGGTCGATAGAGCCCTCGGCAGCGTTGCTGCTGGGGGCATGTTCAGACATATCGATTCACGACCCTAGCAGGTAGTGGTGGACAAGTCATCGGGCTACTAGAATTTTCGACAAGGCGATGTCGATATTGAGCCAGGAAGTATTTCTTCCGTGTACCTTGCTTGTTGCTCTAGCTCGAATTGCCCCGCAGTTACCAGAAAAATGCCCCGCACAACATTGTCAACCAAGACCTTTTTTTCTTCTTTGTGCTTAGACCACCGACCTTGGACGGCACGGGATGAATAAGACGTGTGTGAGAGCTGGCAATAGCTGGCATAAGCGCCTCTCAGTGCCGTTCCTACATGGTATCCTTGATAGTTCTCGGTGAAGCTCTCAATTAAGTACCAAGAGGGTTACCCTATAGCGTGGGGGGCAAGGAGTTAATAGACGTTTCCCCCCGATATGGAGCATCGGCTTTATTGAGCCCGGCTACTGGTAGCTATATATATCAATTGACATCTGTGATTCTATTTGAAAATTTTTGATCGGCGCCTTTTGCCCAGGCTCGGCGTGGGATGGAACGTGGTGGTCAGTTGCGTAACAGATAATATGAAGCGTTGGCGGGGAGAATTGGAGATCAAGATCGTGATGACACTCTCCATTCTACAATGCTGCTACCAATTATCCCAAATGGCAAATATTGGGAGATAACGCGCCCGCCCAGAGCCCTGTATATCCTCGACAAATTGAAATACAAATGCAAAAGGGAGACAGACACATGATCCCTCCACGATAGTATTACCCACTGGGTTAGGTAGTAGTGCTTAGCATCAAATTCCCCAGCTCATGCCCTTGGGGGGTCTTTTAATTCTGCTGCCTGATGCACAAGTGGCTTCGTTTTCCAGGCGAGGGTCACGCTAACCCGGCTATCCACTCTAAAATTGGATGATGCCTGGAAGCAATGATCCGAACCCAGCAGGAATTTTCAAACCTGGTATCATGCTCATACACGAAGAAGGGCCATTGAACGGATAGTGTTCCGTAGAGGATGGAACGGCAGTTAGGTAGGGGCAGCTAGGGCCAGTAGCTGTATCCTAGACCACCAAATACTGGGGTGGTTGGAAGCTATCCGTCCTCCCACGCGGAACGTATCAGAGAGCAGCACAGGCACACAATATCTCGAGCGGGATCCAAATGGCTGATAGGTAGGCAAGGTTCTGCTGGGTCGCAGTGCAGAAAGCTTGCCTCCACAGCCACTACTGCTAGCAGCAGTCTATAGCACAACCACTGTAGCTATCCGCACTTCCCTTGGAGAATTCTTAGCCGCCTCCACTGACCACCGTAAGAGCGACATCGGTAGATATACTGGCAGGTATAGGAGGCAATTCATCGGCGATCGTATATATATCATCTCTTCTCCCACCTTGAAGCTTCTGCAACATCCTTCTCCAAATACACAAACATGGTTGCGACACTGAAATCGTCCGCGTCCATGCTCCGGCTGGCGAGCCGAGCCTTTGCGCTCAGACCAACCAGTCGACTGCCATTGGCCGCAGTTAGACAGTTCCATTACGTGCCGCCACGACAGGATAAGCCTGGAAGCCACTCTCGAACAGACTCTGAAGTCGAGATTGAGTATCCTGCCGAGCATGAGCTCCCGAGCAGCAAGCCGGTCTCTGCTGGTGGCCAGTATGTTAAGCCCACGCTTCCCAGCTTCACTCTTGACGGAAAGGTTGGTGTCGTCACAGGTGGTGCAAGAGGATTGGGGCTTGTGATTGGCCAGGGAATGGTCTACTCCGGGGCCGATCTAGCCTTGGTTGATATGAACAGTGAGATTCCAAGTCACTGCTGAGGCATTGTTCCCAGACAGCTAACATAGCAACAGAGGAGGAGGCTGAGAAACAGGCAAAGCTGATTGTAGATGCTTTCGTCAAGGAAAACCCCAATGCCGAACGGTTAGTGCCCAAAGCGGGCTGGTATCTTCAGATGTCGTGTCTAACAGATCTTCAGCATCCCCAAAGTCACGGCACACTACGCCGATGTTGCTGATGCCGACTCTGTCGAACAGTGTATAGCTGAGATTGTCCAGAAGCACGGCAAGATAGACAACTTGGTCACGTCGGCTGGCTTCACTGAAAATTTCGAGGCCGTCAACTACCCAATTGATCGCCTTCGAAAGCTTTGGGCTGTCAACGTAGATGGCACATATCTGTTCGCCACCTCAGTTGCTCGTCATCTGATGGAGAGGAAGAGCCCCGGTAGTATGGTCATGATTGGCAGCATGTCGGGATCCATTGTCAACGTCCCCCAGCCCCAAGCGTGAGTGATGCTGATTCCATCCACCTGCTCGCACAATATAGAACCCCATGAAAAGGGGAGTTAAAAGAGTCTCGATGAGCTAACGATGGAACGAACTAGTCCTTACAACGCTTCCAAGGCAGGGGTTCGCCATCTAGCAGCATCCCTTGCCGTTGAGTGGGCCCATGCTGGCATCCGGGTCAACTGCCTTTCCCCAGGATACATGCTGACAGCGCTGTAAGTTAACTAAACAGGGTTGTCCTTTATTGTGAGACCGGCCAGCTGACTTGGTATTCCATCTAGAACCCAGAAAATCCTGGATGAGAACCCAGATCTGAAGCAGAAATGGGTATCTCTTATTCCCCAAGGCAAGATGGGCCTACCCCAAGATCTCATGGGCCCTGTGGCCTTCCTGCTCTCTGATGCTAGCAGCTATGTAACTGGCGCTGATATTCGAGTTGATGGTGGCTATACCGTTACATAAGTTTGGGATATTTCATTGCTACGGGGACTCAAGCCTAATATACTACACACTAGTCCACCAATATCAATGAGACATGCTTAAACCATATCTACTTTCAAGTAATTCATATTTTTTTTTGTACATATTAAGGCCCAATATCAAACCAGGCGGATTATCGCGTAGGCTAAACCGTAGGCGATACTAGTCCAGCAGATAATCTATATATAAGAATTATCATCATCACTGACCAGGAGAAACCAATTTTCCATGGGCCCTTGAATCATGTTGCCACCCACCAGCCAGAGCAGCCCCCCCTCGGGCTTTGGCATAGCTCTCCATCCTGGCTTCTAGCTCAGGTCTGAAATGGCGGATGAGGCCCTGGATTGGCCATGCAAAGGCTTCGCCGAGCGCTATGGGATGTTAGAAAAACTGAAGATGTGCAATGGAGAAGTCGAAAAGCACTTACCACAAATAGTGTGACCCTCAACCTGCTTTGTCAACTCCTGAAGCATGTCGATTTCCCTCTCCCGTCCCTGGCCCTTTTCGAATCTGCTCATTATCTGTTCCGTCCACTTGCTGCCTTCACGGCATGGTGTGCACTGGCCGCAGCTCTCGTGGCGGTAGAAGTGGCTCAAGCGGCTAATTGCACGCACAACATCCGCACTCTTGTCCATGACAATGACTGCAGCTGTGCCTAGACCTGACTGGCTATCCTTCAAGGCATCGAAATCCATCAATTGGTCGTCACAGACATTCTTGGGCAAAATCGGAGTCGAAGAACCACCAGGAATAACGGCTAGCAGATTATCCCAGCCGCCTCGGACTCCACCGCAGTGTTTGTCAATAAGCTCGCGAAGGGGAATGGACATTTCTTCTTCAACGGTGCAAGGGTTGTTCACATGGCCTGAAATGCAGAACAGCTTAGTCCCCTGGTTGCGCTCGCGGCCAAACCCAGCAAACCAACTTCCTCCACGGCGACAGATTGTCGGCGCAACAGCAACAGTTTCCACGTTGGCAACAGTTGAGGGGCACCCGAAAACACCGACCGCAGCAGGGAAAGGAGGCTTGAGTCGAGGCTTTCCAGGCTTTCCTTCTATAGACTCGATCAGAGACGTCTCCTCTCCACAGACGTAGGCACCAGCACCGCGGTGAATGTAGACATCGAAATCGTATCCGGAACCACACGCATTCTTGCCAATCAGCCCATCTGCATAGGCCTCGTTGATCGCATTTTGGAGAATGGCGGCTTCGTGGTAGAATTCGCCACGGATATAAATGTAGGCGGCGGTGGCGTTCATTGCTCGGCCTGCAACGAGACAACCTTCGACGAGTTTGTGCGGGTCTTTCCTCATGATTTCTCTGTCCTTGCAGGTACCGGGTTCACCCTCGTCAGCATTTACCACGAGATATCGCGGTTTTGTGTCCTTTTCCCAGCCCTTGAAGTTCATGAAGGACTGCCTAGAAGTTAGAAACTCATCAAGGTCGATATCCAGGTCGAAGATCGTGACATACCCACTTGAGACCAGAGGGGAAGCCCGCACCACCTCGTCCGCGCAAACCAGAGGCCTTGACTTCGTTAATAATCCAATCGTCGCCCTTCAAGAGGATCTCCTTTGTCTTGTGCCAATCGCCCATTTTCTTAGCGCTCTGGAGGTTGGCCGGGTATCGCCCATAGAGGTTCTGGAAAATCCGGTCCTGGTCCTTCAGCCCACCATATGTTCGTACAGGGGCGGCATCCTGAACAGTGGCCAGGCCTCTCGTGGCGCCTCGCGAGAGACTGACGGCCTTTCTGGAAGTTGCTCGGGCAGACAGCATGGTGTTGTTGCGATTGATTGGCAGGGTGGCAGAATGACAGGACAAGAGCTGGTGGGAGAGTGCTGGCAAGACTCTGAATTGGAATTGGATTTGATAATGGAGCTTCCTGATTGGCTGCCGAATAGCCTAGTGCCCATACTTGAGAGATTTACAGAGGGACAAAACCATATATAATGCTTAACTTGGGTAAATACACTAAGGAATTAGGAGTTTATTTAATCACATGTAACTATAGAATTATTATTATTTTTTAATAATAATAATAATAATTATACTCTTCTTTCTTATTTAATGCAACACGTAATACATTTCCAAATGATGTGTTTTGAAATTGCCATTGCAAATATAGAATATACTCCAAAATCCAATATTATGTAATATTTATGACTCTTTAAATACATATTTCACTTATGATTTTAGGCCCATGTCATAATCGGTTAGTGCAAATTTGTGATGCTGTGCGTGTAAGTAGAATACAGATAGCTGTGGAGCATCACGCCCCCCAATGCGAGTGACATTGAGCTCGCAGCTTCATTATACGGAGCGCTATTCATGATCCTGCACGCGTCATAGCTTGCACACAATGTTGGAGCCGGGCGGCTTGTTTGAGTTGTTGACCTAAACTATCGATCTCATTAGTGGTCTCTTTTCTGGATTTCAAAATGGATTATTCAAGCACAACTGGTTCCAACACGGCCGCCACGAGGGCGGAACGGTTTGAGGATGAGAAACGTCGAATCATTGACAGCTGCTTCAACAAAAAGGATACAGATGGCTTGCGTAGGGCACAAAAGCTAAAACATGGATTCTTGCCTTGGCTAATCTCTCATCATAGTCCATGAAACTTATATTACCCATATTCGCGTCACCGAGTTCTCCTCACATTCATCGATGCCGCCTCCTCCTGAAGCCCGGGGCCAGAATACGGAGAAGCCTAGGATTATTGTCGTGGCGGTACGAAAGTCCGGAAGAGTTCGAGTCCACAAAGCCAAGGAGAACAATAGTGGATCTTTCTCAATCGGCAAGACATGGAATCTAGACGATCTCTCACACATCGAATCTTATACGGGGCCCAAGGTAAGCCCGAATCTGCGAGAATGGGCTGGAGAGACTGGCTTCCTCGTTACACTGGGGAAGCCTTATTTTTGGCAAGCTCAAACCGAAAAGGAGAAGAAGTTCTTCATCGCAAGTTTGATCAAAATCTATGGCAAATATACAGGAGGTAAACTGCCCGAGCTATCAGGGTTCGACGTGAGGGAATTGGACCAAATTCTAGGGGCAGGCAAACGCCCAACGGGAACTCCGCCTCGGCAGCAAACGATTGATCCGGCAACCAGCCAGCAAACTATCGCCACATCATCAGCCGCCCCCAAAAGTAGTCTTGGAGAAGCCCCACGATATCCCAGGCCCTCCCCTCTTGTCCGGCCTTCGGCAAATGAAAATAGGTCTCCTGCTGGAAGTTTCGACTCTACTGCATCCAGAGAACGATCCGTTCCCCGATGGACGGCCCAAAACAACAAAAGCCAAGACTCTATTGCCAACTCTACTGCAACAAAAGGCGATGACACGTCGAGCATCCCACCGCGTTCGCGCAGCGGCATGAGTGGACCGAGTGGCCTAAGTGGCCTAAGTGGGTTGAGCGAACCTCGAGATGTTCCCGATTCAACTCACGATTCTATACCTGCTTTACCTCGCCCATCACTGGAAAGCAAACTACCACCCGAGAGAAGGCGCCCCCCTATGGATCCTTCAAGACCACAGGATAGGGATTTGGTCCCTGCCCCCTTAATGAGCTCACCAGCTAAAAAGGAGCCGGTGGCACCTCCACCACGGAGTATCGATCGGGTTGCCTCTCCAGCAATTCCATCAGTGTTACAACCAGGGATAGCTTTTGCTGGCAGAACTAGCCAGGACGGAAGCCCACCACGTCTCACGGAGCCTCTGGAGGACGTGGAGAAAAAACCAAGAAGCATCAGTATCAACAGCGACGTGAAAGATTTATCCACAGCTTCGCCGGTGGACACAAATCTATCAGATAAATCAGGAACAAAGGATACGACAACACTTGAAAAGCAGTTAACTTCGCCAGATGAGGAAACCCGTCCTGGTTTAGGCCCTATGATAAAGTCTAAGATATCCAAAGGGGATGTTGCCGGTGCATTTTGGAAAGCTGCATCTGCCGCAAATGCTTTCCGTCCACGACCGGGAGGAGCCGGAGAACGCCTCCGCCAAAACCAAGCCAAATCAAACGAGGGTCCTGATGGCATTACAAGCGTTGTCCCGGCACCGCCTAGACCTGCCTCTCGCGACGCAAACCCTCCCACCATTGAAACCCCAAAGCCGACCGTTAGTGACTTGACAATACCAGAGGTCAAAATATTGGTGGCTGAGTCAAATACCCCTGGAAATGCACCGGCACCAACTAAAGAAGTTAGTGAGCCCGAGAAGGATGTAGCGGCTTCAAAAGAAGCCTCTCGTCGGCCCGTAGTCGTTGGGCAGGATGCTAGGTATCTTCAGAGGTTGGGTGTTGACCCAATTATCCTTGATGATCGCAGTGAAGAATTCGGCAAATGGCTGGATTTCTTCGGTTGGGTTCCTGGTGATCAGATGCACTGCTTAAATATGGAGGATATAGGCAATGACCTGGAGCGAGAATTAAACACAGTCCAAGCGGGGGGGTGGCTAGCACGCTTTCGAGAAGAGGATGAGAGGGTAAATACGATCAAACGTGGAATCGATCTTGCTATGGGTGAATGCGAAGAGCTGGATAATTTACTCACGTTATATTCAGTGGAGCTCTCGGTAGGTTTCCTTTTTCTTTGTTAGAAGGTTATGTTCATCTCCGGACGTCAAGCTGACAACCTCAAGACCCTCTCAGACGACATTGCGTATATTGAAGCTCAAGGCCAAGGCCTCCAGGTACAAACAGCCAACCAAAAATTGCTAAGGAAAGAACTGGAGTCATTGCTGGAAACATGCGCCATAACTTCAACCGATCTCCAGGCACTTCAACAGGCACCCTTGGACAGTCTTCGAGGCTTGGAAGAAGTTGAACTCTCCCTTGTGACTCTATTTAGAGCCATGATAAAGATTGATCCCTCTCTTGGAGGGGACGACACCGGAAAGTCTATAGATACTGCTCTGGACGCTGACAATGCCTTGGGGCTAAACAGCAACTACGGCAAGATGAGAATTGTGCAAGAGAAGAGAGAAATGTACCTGCACGAAAGCAGGCACTTCATGAAACGACTACTGGACTTCATGACCGGCCAGTTTGCCGAAGCTTATGTCGAAACGAAGCGAGCATTGGATGGTGCTCTTTCGAAAAAAGTTGATCCTGCACATCACAGCATTGGAAGAGATCTTCTGTGGAAGTACAGCCCTTTAATGCTCTACGCGAGAGATGCGGATCTAGAAAACTGGAATCGCCTCATGCAAATTTATCAAGACAAGAGCTCTCCCGTGTATAAGCACGAATTTCAGCATGTGATTACTCTTTGGCGTAAAAATGCGAGGAAATTAACAGGAGATGAAGCAGAGGTTATCTTCTCGTCTCAAGTTGAAAAACAGCAGGAGGGTGTGGCTACAGCGGCTAGGAAGTTGACCGTCAAACGTAGCCAAACGTTAGCTAAGGCTCTACGCTCGCCATTGGCAGATGGTGGTACCAGAGCGCACGTTGAAAGGAACACTACGGATAATAGAAGCCTGCCATACGAAATCTTCTCTGAGGCCTTGGAAGATCTTCTGCCTCTGGTTGAGATGGAACAGAATTTTATCATCGATTTCTTCCATGCGACTACACTGGAACAAGCAGATTTCCCAGAGGCAGTTGCAGCATCTCCTCCTCGAGACCGCCGTGGAGGCGATTTGAAACGCCATAGGCTCATGGAACCTGACCGAGAACTTGCTCGCCGTGTTACGCGGTCCATGGAGGCCATTTTCGCATTCCTTGAGGCTGAGTTACGAAGACTGATGGAGTGGGCAATCGCTCAAGATCCGCTGTAAGTTGAATAGCTGTTCAATGCATATTGGATAAAGACTGACTGGTTGGGACTTAGTCAAGGAGTTGGAGTGCTCGCTACACTCGAGAGAAAATTGTCTGAAATGGGGCAATCTAATCAAGATTTCTTGAACGCCCTTCTCCAGAAGCTACATGCATCATTGGAGGGACAATTCAGAAAGTTTGTTGATGAACAGATACGAGCCATCGAGGAAACAAAGGTTAAAATCAAGAAGCGCAAGGGTGTCATATCATTCATACGAATATTTCCCGCTTTCATGGCCGCCGTCGAAAACATGGTCGCTGGGTTGGATCATAACCTAATCTTGCGGCGGACGGTAAATCGGGAGTATGATCGCATTCTGAAGACAATGTTCGAATCACTCATGGTGATTGCGCGTGAGCATCCGGCCGTTGTCGGGGTTGCCGGCGGAGCGGCTGATCCAGAGGACAAGGAGGCGCTGAACTTTCACATTTTACTGATTGAAAACATGAATCACTTCCTCGAAGAGACTGATGCTCGCGGCCTAGAGGTTCTTGAAAACTGGAAAGCACAGGCGAATACCGAATATCATGAGCATATGGCGCTCTATCTAAATGCGGTGATGCGGCGACCCCTGGGGCGACTTCTGGAGCAGATTGAGAATATCGAGGCGCAGCTGCAAACCGGCAAGTCCGCAATGGCAATCGCTCGACAGCCCTCAAACAATAAGACGGCATTCAATAAAGTGCTGGGCTCTTATGATGCGAAGGAAGTACGGAAGGGAATTGAAACTCTACGGAAACGCGTGGAGAAGCATTTCGGCGATGCTGACGATCCAACCCTCAGCCGGGGCCTGGTCGTCAGGGTGCTTCAAGAATGCGAAGAGTTCTACACCGAGGTTGAAGGCAGGATAGGTAGGATTATAACTGATGTCTACGGCGGGGAGGTATTCTTCGAATGGCCTAGGGTAGAGGTGAAGGCTGCCTTCAGGTAATAATACATGTCATATATACCTAGTAATACATAATAATTCAACAACCTGCTGTTCAAGAGTATACACATGTGCGCATCAAGCGCCAAGCAAGAGCCTACGGTTCCGCTTAATGACAAGGTTCAGGCCCTTTTCAAGCTTCTCCGTCTCTCTCTTTGCCGCTGTTAACGCTGCCTCGGCATCCTCAACGCTCATCAGGGGCATATTGCCGATTGAACTGGCCGCCGCGCCTTTACCAATCTCGTCAAGTGACATGCCCGGGGCAGCAAAATCCTGTATCGCTCGAGCGCTTTCTGGTGTACTGTAGATGCCCACTCCGGCGGCAGCATCCGGGCCGTAAAAATACGGCGCGAGAGAATTGAGGCTCGCCGAGTCCCGAGTAGAAGATGCCCCCTTTGGGAATCCCATGCTGGTAGCCCCAAGACTGAGCCGAGGTAGTACATACTGATTGATGTAACTTAAAGCATCCTCTCGTTGAAGCTTGCCAATGGGATCCTGAGATTGTGGCTGCACGGTAGAGGGGAAAATGTTTGGTCGCCCGTTGGGAACCGCTCGGCCCTTAATAAGTGAGAAAGCTCCGCTGCTTGGCTGATGTCTTGGTGCTACGAACGCAGCAGGATTCTCTGCCGTTGCAGCAATTGCAGTTTGGAGGGCCAAAAAGGTATCCTCTTCTTCTGGTGTCAACCCGCGGATGCAGTCTCCGTGAGGGGTGATCAGCATGCGGCTGCCATCAGTATGGAATTGTTTACGGACAGGCCTTCCGGCTCGCAGTGCTGCAAGATCAGCATCTTGCATCTCACCACATCTGCAAGAGCTCTCCTTGCAGTCTCCCCTTTTGCTTAGCTGGTTTAATGAGTTGTGCTCTGGCCTGGATGAATTGCTCGAAACAGGCTTTAACAGCTGCAGTTTATCTGGAGCAGATGTGCAGAGCGACTCTCTAATATCGGCAAAAACGGACGCAGGGCTCGACTGTGGTCTTTCAACAGTTTTGTCTGCAGGTTCAGCTGCTTTGGACAATGAAGGTGTCGGTGACGACACGATTGCCTCGTTTACCTCTTTCGCTGAGTTCCTAGTATCTTGCTTGTCTTTGTTTGTATACCCCCTGCTGTCTGTTTTCAATCTTTCATTGTTGCTATCAACTAATGGCTTTCCATCGTCTTTAGACAGGGGTATCGCTTCGTCCTTCAGCGCTTCTGTGGAAGTGGTCGCAGAAGACATGGCATTAACCTCTTTAGCGGGCTTTTCCTTCTTCTGTTTTTTCTTGCGTCCAATGACAGGAGCATGTTCAGCTTCTTCCGTCTTGGGTGTTTCAGCTAGGGTCTTTGTTTCTTGCTTCAACACATCTTTGCGCTGTTTGCGTTGCTGACTCTTCGTGGTACCTCTGATTGGAGCGGTGCCAACCTTGCTTAGGGGAGGGGATCCAGCTCGAGAAATGGAAACCGAGAACGAGGTAACAGAGGCGGTATCGCTAATCATTTCGCTGGCTGGTGTGCCAGGTCGGTGTGAATGTCCCGGCTTTCCCACTGCAGGTACGTTGGAAATCGGAAGAGGAGACGGTGAAGCTGGGCGAGTCTCCGTCTTGATTGATGAAGGAACCACTCTTAAAGTTTTGGGTATACTTCGCGAGGGCGTGGCCACTCCACTGCTGATTGCAGGAGTAGGCAAGGGGGGAAATCTGGAAGCCTCTGCCAATTCATCTACTTTGGCAGCCTCTTCTTTGGGTTGAGAGATGAAAGTAGCTCCAAAACCAGGAACCATGGGGCCCAGAGATTTGGCGTCGCCGCCTCGTGTAGGCTGAGATTCATCCGCGTTAATGATATCCCCATGATCTTCATGCACAGTTTCGGAAATTTTATCATTTTGCCTCTTCATTGCCGATATAGTTTTCGATATTATGGTTTTAGGAGTAACCAAACCAGTGTTGGTGCTTGTAGTTTCAATTGTCCTCGGCGCGCCTAAAGCAGGGAAATCCTCTTCTTGAAGTATAGATCCTCTAGCAGAAGTAGGCCAAGGTCCGAGCATCGCAATAGGAGAAGAGTCCTTTGCTGCATGAGGTTTGGTGTGGATGTCGACCTCATGGTTGTCGGTACCATCCAACTTTGAAGGTGCCTGAATAGACGAGATTGGGTCATAAATAGAGCCAAAGGTTGAGATGTGAGGCGAGCTTGGAATCAAATTGGAACGCTGTGACTGTCCCTGCATCAGTACGCCTTTAGAAGTCGAGTGATTGAGGGTATCCGGGTTATCCAAGTAAGAAGCCAGACGACGGGACTCCGCGTTGGTGGCTAATGGAGATGATACCAGGGCCGGTAAGGACTCATCTGAGACCAATGCATCCACTGATAACTCTGCCTCGTCCAGTAAATTAAGATCATGGTCTAAAGAACACATTAGCAATGTGCAATACAATGAGGGCTTAATACAAGGGCAGTGACGGGATAGCGGGCTACGGATTGGGGAGTTTTATGACACAAAGGCAAAAGGAGCCATCCTACGACCTCCATCATCGTCTTCCACGGGGAACAACGAGGGGAAGGTAGAGAAGTTCGGTATTATATATTGCGACCCAAGGAGACACCAATGCTGGTGGCTCCGTGCAATCCGTTAACATACAGGAGGACTTGTGTGGAAGACGATGATGGTTTGCCTTACTGGATACTCCTTGCGTCAAACCATAAAACTCGGTCCGTAGGAAGAAAAAGAGAAAATGATGAAACAAGAAAGGAGGACCACCCTCGCCGGCTTTAATGCAATTGACCGAAAGAAAAAGGAGAAAGAAAATGAAGTGCTCCTCCAGCCGTTATCGTGGATACACCCGCTGGAATAAGGGTATGCCTCGCGAATCCATAAAAATAGCCCCCAAACTTCAAATGCAGGTCCTCTTGAGCGCCTCTCTAGTACAGTATAAAAGTGTGCAATGAATATCAACATATCATGCGATACCCTTGGTCATGCTACCATCGGGCATAACTGGAATTATACATCATGTTCGGGACATACCCACCTTGGCTCTGGCCGCTGAAAACTCCCTGATTGACTCCGGTGTTGCTTTGCGATTGGTGCTGCATCCTCGCCTGCAGTATACTCGGGTCCGCAAGATCCACTAGACCACTCCCCCCCGAGGAGGAAGTGTTAGCATGTCTATGCTTCTTCCCCTTCTTCTTCTGCTTCGAGCCAAAGTCTTGGAATGCTCCGGGGTGGTTACCGTAGAGCGATGCCAAAAGGCCAGAAGTAGGAGCTGGGGTAGAGGTTGAGGGTGGTGGATACTGATTAGAAAAAGAAGAGATCATGTACTCACGCTTTCCACCATCATGAGGCTGGTTACCACCGCCTCGGCTCCGACTAATTAAACTCTGTAATAAGTCGCCAGGTGTGTCTTTCGTTGCAGGACCAAATGCCGAGCCGCCAAATCCTTGACCAAAAAGGTTTGGAGGTGTGTTTGTGGACTTGAGGCCTGGCGGCGGCGCTGGCATAGAGCTGCCAAAAAAGTGGCTGCTACCTGAGGATTGCAACGAGTTAGATACCATGGATGATTGTTGGCCCATGATTCTTTGATTCGTGGCAAATTTGAGATTCGTTGCTGCTGGTGGGCTGTCAGCCATAAAGCCGAATCGGGATGATTGACGATTATGACCTTGATTTTGGAACGTAGCCTGGCTAGATAGGCCCGAAGGGACCTGATCGCTGAACCCTGATTGAGGTCGCAAAGACATTAACTGCGGAGGGGCGACTCCTCGACCCATCTGACTTGTACCTGGATTGAAGTTTGAACCACTAAGAGCAGGACCAAAGAGAGTATCGGCATTGCTTCTTTGAATGGGAGGAAATGAGTTGATATGCCGGTGCTCAAACCCCTGCCCATCACCGATCACATCGCGTTCTTCAGGTTCACCACCAAGAGCAAGGCTCCCGCCTGTCTCTGCCTCGCTTTCCGGTTGAATTTGACCTTCAGTTGCGTTCTTCTGGTCACCACCGATCCGTGCATCGTCATCCTCACGCATGGCTTTCCGCTTCTTTCCTCCCCGAATATCGAATAGTGGAGGTTCCAATTCGTTGAATTGCGGAGTAACGAGGCTCGTAAATGTACAACTTTGTAACGCCCGTAGAATTGTCGCCAGTGAGCCCTGTGACGGGGGCAGCTGGGGTTCTTCGGCAGGATCTTGATTTGAGATATTATCATCTTCGGGAGGTTGGGTAGAAGGAGGAGATTCGGTATCTTCCACAGCTTCTTGAGCAACTTCTGTTGTAGTAGGTAATGAGGCTGAAATAGCGGGGCTGGATGGAGCGCCGCTTGTTGCATGGCTACCTCGGCGGCTGCGCTGGGGGTTTCGGGCCCAATTGGCTGAAGAAGGTAAAGCAGAGCCATCCAATCCATAATCCGAACCATCTTTGCTTGAAGAACGCGCCATGGTCTGCGAAATGGCCGTAAGGGTTGGCTGTGAGGCTTGCTGCCGAGGGGTTGTCCGGAAAGAGCTGTTGTTTCCTCCAGGCAGCGGCCGCTGTGTGTGAATGCTATTCATGGATGACAAATCTTGGCGAGTATAGCTGTCCTCCTCATCGCCCTGTTCATGTAAGAACATGCAACCAGGGTTGTTGCATTTCTCGTTCTTGAGCCATGCCGAACAGTATTTCGTCGTTCCATATTGAGCTTTTAGTATTCGGTCGCCGTTTTGTGACCCATGGACAGCTTGGATACACCTTGTTGCTTCATCGGGTTTTTCAAAAGTAACGTAGATGCCTAACGAGTGGTGTTGACCATCCGAACTTTTTCGATTACTAATCGAAATCTTTTGAATAACGCCGTACTGCCCAAAAAACTCGGGCTTCCGAAGCGTCTTAAGGAGTTCGTCTTCACGGACGGTAGGTGCCAGACCTGTAATGTAAACGAGATTCTTCTGCACAACACGTACTCCGATGAGATTTTTGCGATTCTCTTTCTCAGCTTCGCGTTTCTGAACCTCCTTCTGGCGCTGTTCCTGAGCTCGCTTGCGTTGATTTTTTTGTATATTTGCACGGAACTCGGCAACCCTAAAAAAAAGTCAGCTCGAGAAATCTTGATAAGAAAGATATAGAGCTTACTCCTCTTGTGTCACGACTTTCCACTGGATGGTCTTCTCGTCGTAAGGTCGTCGACATGCCGGACATAGACCATTCATATTATTTTTTATATTATTGAAGCAAAATTGGCAGACCTAAAAACGTTGTGTTAGAAGTCTTTGCTCTTTTGTTTATGGGATCAAAGAGATAGCTACCTGGTAGCCGCAAGGACAAGGGCGGAAGTTCCGGTCGGATAAATCGAACTCTTCGATGCAAAGAGGGCTGTGACGGCATTAGAGAGTGGCTTCTTCTCAATGAGTATCCTCCTCCACGTTCACTTACCAGACATCTTCGTCTTCCTCTATGAAAGAGTCTTGCGGCGCCATGCTTATGGTAGAGGTATGTTTGCTATCGTTAGATATGGGAAATAAGAAGAAGAAAAAATCGTGGTTGTGCTGGCCAAGTGGTTGATAGCTAACTGATGATGTTTGTTCAGAGCGTGGTGTGTGGGACGAGCCAGCCGTTTGGTCCCAAATCTGGCGGGCTCCACAATCACGTGATTCTAGCCTCACTTATTGCGAGGAACAGGTATAAAATCATGACTTGCCAGGATAATTATTATAGTGCTACCTGGTAAAAAGTGCGAGAAGATGGGAAAAGGGTAGGTGGGTTTTCCTCTTATTAACTTGAAGTTATTGCTTTTGCCAGGTACCTGGAGCTTCAGACAGTAGTAGGCACTCACTGTACAGTTACCTAAGTATGCAGCTTAAAAGCCACCTTACAGTCGTACCCAGTACTTTATTTTGTGATTATCAGATGTACAGTAGGGCAATCTAAGATATACTGTAGGTGAATGCACTGGGGCCTACTTGGCTACCAGACGCATCATGCTGAGCTGTACAGTGCGAGCTGTGACACACCATCATCTCTTACGGCAAATCACCGGAGACTCAAACCGAGTTCATGGATCTGAGCTAATTGCTTCATGGAACAATTCGGCTCCCCCACCAGTTCAACCAAGTCTCGCAGCCATTGCATCCCGGCAGACAATTCGCTATGGCAAGCAAGGTCCCATGGAGAGCGACTTTGAGCTCAACTCTTGAGCCTGCAAAGGCCTTGACGCGAGCTCGCGCTGGACAAATCACCAGAGCGATATCAATCTCCTCTCCTCGAATGGTCGCAATGCCCCAGGAGTCCCATAACATGAGAGAAGCCCCGAGAGACGCAATTGGAACCCTCAAAGCGCCCATCGTCAATCCGACAGCCAAATACCAAAGCAAGGCAGACAATCTTCATCGATATGGAACCTGGTTAATGGGATGCCTCCCAAAGTACATCCAGCAATTCTCTGTCTGGAAAGACGAACTCACCATTTACATTTCGCCATCTGGGGTTATCCCGGTCTTTTCTTTCCTAAAGTGTTTGTATACCACTTTCTGCTGCTTTGGCAAAGTCTAACCTTGCATGCCTCTAGATAATACGGCTGCAGAATTTACTCAAGTTAGTACTGTTACTGCATGCGACTACCCTACCCGCAGTAATCGATTCGAGGTTGTTTACAACTTGCTCTCCGTTCGATACAACTCTCGCATCCGAGTCAAAACTTACGCCGACGAGTCATCCCCTGTGCCAAGCATCACCAGCCTATTCGGCGGCGCCAACTGGTATGAACGTGAAGTCTACGATCTATACGGCGTCTTCTTTACGGGCCACCCTGATCTGAGACGTATCATGACGGACTATGGATTCGAGGGCCACCCTCTACGAAAAGACTTCCCACTTACGGGATACACCGAGATTCGCTATGACGAGGAGAAGAAACGAATTGTCACCGAGCCACTAGAACTTACCCAAGCTTTCCGAAACTTTGAAGGAGGATCCAGCGCTTGGGAACAAGTTGGGTCGGGCGAAGATCGCAAACCTGAGACCTTCAAACTGCCTGCTGCTAAGCCAGAGGAAAAGAAGTAGACACGTTACTTGGAGAGCCACTAAAACAGACACTCATATGTATCATATGGCTAAAATACTTTTTTGGAATTTATTTTTCCCCGACCTGATACTGTGAAACATGAAATTCCTAATTTCCCAGTTCATTGGTGTATAAGTCCATTACTTGAGATCCATGAATAGTTTTTAATATGGGCTACAGCTCTTATCATGGCCTACATGTACAGCATCATCCTTCGCCGCAGTGAGGGAAGTTGAGCCTTGAGGAAATCATTGGGTGGCCGTTGTAATATAAGAAATGTTTAACATCGCAAAATAGGGCGAGTGCCTACACGACTACACAACTATGCTATGCTCATAAATTCCAAATGTTGCTGAATGGCTTATCAATGCAAGGGTGCTTCATCTCGTAGTTCCACATTAATATCATCAGAGTGTTTAACAGTCGCGACTTCTAGTCGTTTAATCTATATCCCACAAGAAATGGCCATGGCACCGCTGTCTCAACCCTGCACGCTCCCCATCAACTCCCAATGAAGGAGAACCAAGACGCAACCAAGCTCCTAAAACGCCGTTGTATACTAGATTTCCGCCACCCTCAATCCCACCTCTTCTCTCAAAACAAGACCTACCCGCGGTCGCGCCACAACACGCGCTGAAAATGTTACAAAAAGTGATGACTACCCGTGAAGCTGAGTAGATGGGCAATCCTGTGGCTAAGCATCACCACACGCCATCCTGGCCAGTGTGTCGATCTGAGACATCGTTCTGATACCGATAATAATCCTTCACCTCCTGGCTATAGCCACCAGAATCGTCATCGCCGTAACCACCATGGCTATCGCGTGTGTGATCATCTTCATATATCTGAGCATCATCCACATACTCGACGGGTTTATCGGAACTGGAATCAGCGTATTGCACTGCCGTCTGAAAGAACTTAGTATGCTTCAAATTTATAGAAAAGGGGGTAACTTACACGATGGTAATTGAAATCGTACTGCTCAAGACTCTGATGTTGGTCTTGTTCATCTGCCTCATCCTGTGCATCACGCTGAGCCATGTAGTCTTGTTCTTCCTGCTTACGGCGTGCCTCTTCTTCTAGTCGCTTTTGTTGGGGTGAAACTGGAACATTCATCTGGGGATGCATAGCTTGAACAATCGCCAAATAGCTATACATAAAGTTGCTCAGAAGCACCTGGCTGTGGAGGGACCGACGAGGGTTTGCTAATTTGATGTGTGCCATTCGATAGATTGCGCGCTCCTCCAGAAGTGGAAAGCGGCTCCAGTTGTAGTCAACATCTGGTTGCAAAGGCTTGTAAGGCACAATGTCTTCTGGAACTTGCAACAGCTGCTGAGATTTTTTGTTCTTTTCTTTCTCTTCTCTTTTCTTGCCACCGCCAAAAATGGAAGAGAACAAACTTCCATCCTTTTCCTTCTTTGAGTCACTTTTGCGATGGCTCTCTTTCTTTCGCTCGTCCGAAAGCTTATTGTCGATGCTTTCCCGGTCAAGGACTAGGCTTTCGCGACCCTTTGTAGCAGTCTTTTCAATTGAAGTTTGGATCACATCCAATCGCACATTATCTTGGGCTTTTTCGGATGCGGATTTATGCTTGGATTTCCTGCTCTCATCTTTCTTTTTGTCCCTATCGTCTGCAACACCTTTGAGCCACTTCCACGCAGAGCCAGACCTCGTGGAATTATGAGAGTCCTCATCCTTATCCCTTTTCGACTTTTTGTCCGATTTTTTATCGTCTCGCGTATGCGCCGGGGTAACGGTTGAGGTATCAGAGCGAATAGCGTTACCATTTGAAGCGCCGGATTGGACCGGACTCGCAACAGCAGCTGTACTGGTTTGCGCCGCGCTGGGAATTGGCGATTTCGCAGAGCTAGGCGAGCTGTTATCCTCGAAATTCGCATTGCCCGATAAGGAGTGGTAATTCGAGTGGCTCAGTGTATCGTCGCCAATATTATCCGTCGCAGACTCCAATCCGGCCTCTTCTGTCACGGTAATGGCCTGAGATGAAGAACGCTGTGGGAATTTTTCCGGATATCGATTGTCTTGCGAAGCGCTTGCTTCATCTGGGTTGGAGGTATTATTGTTGGATGTAGTAGATTGAGCAGAAGGTAGTCGACCAGAGAACTGTGACGGCCTTGAGGAAGAGGAAGTGTCGAAATCTGTTGACGTTGCGGTCGGTTCTTGTGAAAATCTATCTTGTCTTCGATCTGGCCGGGTAGGCCTTGAGAAATTCTCAGAAGTAGGTTCTGACTGCACTTTAATCAGCGGATATCCCCGAGGAATATCTTCGGCCGCCGGAATAGGTGGCTCTATAGATTCGCCGCTTTGCTGGCGTTGTGCCATCCGCTTCGAAAACGATGTCTTGTCCCCAAATCGCAAGCTCCCTCCTTTGCGATAGGTTGTCCGAGTTGATCTCCGTAATCCGCTACTGGGTGCAACAGGGAGGATAGGCATGTCATCCATCCCAGTCTCTAAACTGCCTGAATAGTTATGGGACTCTTGAGCAAGCCTCTGAACTGCTTTTGAGGGGTCTTTTACTAGCTCATCTAGACTCAGTTCTCGGTCTTGTTGATTACCCTTGAAACCATGTCTCTCTGATCTGTCTATCCCACCAGCGAATCCTTCAGGGGCTCGTTCTTCTGAGTTGTCAATCTGGCGTGAGAGTAAGGACTTCTTTCTCCTTAACGAAGAAGCGTTTATAGGATCCGATTCATTGCCATATTTTTCATCCGAGACGGAAAGAAATGAATCCCCGGATCTCCTCCGTATTGACTGAAGGCGGCTTGCTAGAAAGGTCTTGAACTCGGTTGGAGCAAGCTCCGGGTGTACCCTGGCTGGCACCCAAAGCAATCTCGATGGGTCGTTTTCATCGTCGTCTCCTCTCGGCGCCACAGCCGGCATAGCTGCTAATGACATTGGCGGTATATCTGGATCAATACTGTTGCCCACATCCATAGATAAACGCCTCAGCGCTTGCAAATTGCTCAACTCCTGGGCGATATCATTCGGGTTATCTATATTGGTCAGGGGAAATTGCTGCCCGGGTGTTTGTGTATGAACTTCGCGCAGAGATAGGGTGGGAGATGTCACGGGCATTGTGTGTTGGTCCATTTGATCGCCCCAATGATTGTTTCCTATGGCGAGTCGTATCGGCGAAGTTTTCGAACTACCATTATCATTATGAGTTATAGCTTGTGTGGGCTGATCCGACGCTGGTTGAAGAAAGAGATTTGGCGATTTGTTCGAGTGCGAAGGCCTTTCAAGGCGTTGATGTTGTGGTTGGGGTCCTCCTTCTTGATATGCAGGGCCGGGAAGGAAACTCAGCGGGCGACTTGTCTCGGTACTTGAGTCTTCATCTTCATCATATAGATTGCCGATTGCCTCCGTTACGTGATGACTGGGATCCGAAATTGAGAGTTGGCTCGAGTGGCCACGTCGTGTGGAAAGGGTGCCGGCAACTTCGCCATGAGGTCGAGATGATGTCTATTCGCCGATTTCATTAGCGACGGCTGAAGAATCGAGATCGCTACTACTCTGGTTTTATTGGATCGATTCTAGCCACGGGTACGCTACCGACATGTTCCGTTCTACATTTGAACTCCAGCTCGGTAGCGTCTTCTGCGTTCTGGCACGAAATACACTAGAGAACATACCATCATCGAGGGTGACGTGAGGGCCGTAGGGAGGCGGGACCCCCGGGCAAAAGCCGGTACAGCTATATTATCTGGTTCTAGATAGCAACTTTCGGAGTCTTGGGTTTGGGTTGGTCACGGCAGCCAGATGAGCGAGTAACAAGTTGCAGATTAACCAGCAACAGATGGTGGGCTAAGTAAACACCTCCTGAGCGGGATGTCGTCACGATGTCTACCGCCACATGAGGGCGCCGTATAGAAGATCTCCAGCGTAAAATCAGGGTTTGGTCGAGCGGATGACAAGAAAGGAGGCCGTTATTCATTAGACATGAACGCGAGTATCTTAAAACGTTATTTCTTTAGACAACCAGAACATGAGACATAGGTAGGTCGGCGATATGAAGCACATGACAGTTATCGCATCCCTACCTAGAGTCTACTAGGATAGTCCTAAAATGCATGAACGAAATGAAATTTGATTTGTAGCCATTTACAACTGTATACTTAAAGCTATTAAATAAAAGCAAAATTAATAATATTTACATTTATATATTACTATTATATATATTAATAGCGAAAATAATATATAAGTCTATTGTTTTATTTTTTTAAATTGTTTATTTAAGTAATTAATTATTTGATTATTTAATGATTTAATTATTCTTATATTTACTAATATTAATAATATTAACATTAATATATAAATATATACATCTAAATTATTTTAAATAAAACAAAAGATATACATACTAGTTGTACTCCGTATTTATTGACTATGTCTAAAAATAGTCATAATAGTCACACTGCTTCCAGCTGCTTCGGTATCCTAGGACGGTTCTAAGACAATTTATCAGTTTGCGACCGAAGTACACTGCTTTACGGCGCTCACCATAAAAAATCCAGACACCTCCTTTAAGATGTCCCATGTTCAGAATTGGACGTCTCTTCGTGTTATCGACCCGTCTTCTCCCCCTGTCTTCCAAACACCGATCAAACGCATTCATCAGACGGATGATGTGCGCAGATTCCTTGTCAGCGAAGCCTATCGCGATATCGGCATATTTATTCTCCAGCTCAATCACGCCCTTTGCCCTCGACAACCAAATGGCGATTCAGTTCCGTCTGTATTTCCCTTGAGTTCTAGATCTACCACGACGGCCTCTATCCAATCGTGTCAAGCGCTACTATCTCGCATCCACAAGCTCATAGGCAACGCACCACCAGATCCTGGGTCTCAAAGATTTGGAAACGTGAGCTTCCGTAAATGGTTTCAGCTATTGAATAACGAACTGGACGATTTTCTCGATCATGGGTTGCTCGGAGAAACTCTACGAATAGGCAATGGGCATGCCAAAAACGAAGTAGCAAGCTACTTACTCGGAGCGTTTGGCAGCCCACAGCGCCTAGACTATGGGACCGGTCATGAGCTCAACTTTATTGCTTTCATTGGCTGTCTATGGAAGCTAGGGCATTTTAAGGACGGCATACAAGGTGGTGATATTGAGAGGGAGATTGTGCTCTTGGTCATCAAACCGTAAGTAACAAGAACATGAGGTACTCGCATAAACTCACTACGTTAGGTATCTCGACATTGTAAGGCAGCTCATAACGACATACACTCTTGAGCCAGCAGGATCCCATGGTGTATGGGGTCTAGATGACCATTCGTTTATTCCATATATTTTCGGATCTGCGCAGCTTACTCGCCCAATTAGCAGCGAGCTTGATCCGATGCCCATTGAAGGCTCTGTACGGGGCGCACCAAAACCAAGCGATGTTACCAACCCAGGCATTGTTGAAGACTTGAGGCAAACCAATATGTACTTCTCAGCCGTTGCGTTCATCAATGACGTAAAAAAGGGGCCATTCTGGGAGCACAGTCCCATGCTATTTGATATTTCCGGCATAAAAGACGGATGGGGGAAAATTAATAAAGGTATGATCAAGATGTTCAATGCTGAGGTTTTGTCAAAATTCCCAGTCATTCAGCATTTCCCATTCGGTTCGCTTTTCGCCTGGGATGAGAATAGGCAGGCTCTGGACCAAGATCTTCGCAGAGACAACAGGACCACATAATCAACTGAACTGAATGCTTGCCTACCGATCTACTATACGAAAGGGGTACATCGTCGCAACAGACATTACTCGCCGAAAGAGGCGTGTTACAAATAATGGCGAATCAAGCTAATGAAGCAAGAAGAAGAAGAAGAAGAAGAGCCATATTGTGGCAATAGTGAGACGCCTAATATACTCATGAGCGTCTGTAATCAACTCGTGTTTGCTGAAGCAGGGCGAATGCATACTGGGTCTATCCCTATCATCATCTACCGATGCATTGTTATAGTCTTGTGGCGGCAATCGTCAACTGAAGAAATCCGTTATCTTCTTGACGCCTGGGGGGCCTGGCTTAACCTGTCTCCTTTTTGACGTAGGGCTAGAAACGTCGGAGATCTTGTGCTTTTTGTTGGTCTCTGCTCTTTCAACAGGACTGAGCTTGGCATTGGTAATACTGGTATCTTGATTACCCTCGTTTTCATGCTTACCCATCCCAGTCGGTTTTTTTGGCTCCGAATTTTGAGAGGTGCTGGAGAAAAACCGGGCTATATCACGCCCATTGCCTTTGTCACTCAATGGTAAGATGAAGGATGGCGAGCTACGACCAACTTTTCCAACGTCCTTACATACTGGGTATACCTCTAGGTCTCCTTCGTAGGGCTTTAGTAGGGACTGTAGATCATGGGTCCATCTAGTTTGCTGTGGATGTAGCCACTGTCGAAAGTCCTTGGAGTCAGCATCAAAGATAACCGGCATGCGGTTGTGCAGAAATCGGAGCTGTTGGTTTGAACTGGTTGTGATGATCGAATACGTATAACGTTTGTCTCCAGTGTCTTCGACAATAGAGTAAGGTCAGTAGTTAGCTGGCAAGTTCTCGCAAACATGCAGGCTCATACCTTCGTGCTTAATAGCGTCCCAGAGGCCAGCAAAGCACATTAAGCGGCCATCTCTGCGCTTTACAAAATGCGGGACTTTCTCCTTGGGGCTCACATGAAGCCACTCGAAGAACCCCTGAGCTACAACGACACATCTTTTACGGGTTTTCATTGACTGCCACATGCCACCGGGTGTCCTCAGAGAATCATCTCTGCAGTTGATGGCCTTTGGGGTCGGGGCAGTATTCTTACTTGACCATGAAGGTACAATTCCCCAGTTCATTGATTGAAGTTTGAACTCGACTTCCTCGCCACCATGCTCCTGCGGGTCCTTTTTCGTTTGGTGGGGTTCGCAGTCTGGGGTACTCGTATGAGAGTCATTGGGTGTTGGCTGTGTGCCGCGGTGATGTGTACCGGCCGTACAAACAACGCCATTAGAACCAGGAGCAAAGTTGTACGATTGATGGGGAGCCTCAGAGCCCTCGTCATCAGGAGCATCCGCTATTGGAACGCCATCATCTTCCAGCATCTGGCGAATTAAAGACGGAGACTAAGCCATTAGCGATGTTCTATTTAGCATAGCATGTAGAAAGACTTTACTCCTGGTGCTATTAACTTACAATTGCCAACGAGTATCGACCACACATGGAGAAGGTTTAAAGTGCTACGAGATAGTGAAATAGGGATGGATTAAAAAGTATTACCTTTAGATTAGAAGGTATTACCTAGGTAGCTAGGCAGGGGACCTGTGGCTATATAGCCTACCTATTGGCTTTTCTTTTAGTTAGTAACTTAAAGTCTTTGCCTCTAAGTTAAGTCTAAAACCCTTAAAATACCCTAAAATATAATATATAACTTTTACTAATTTTAATTTTTATATAATATATATATATATATATATATAAATAATAATAATAATATTAAAATAATAAATAAATTTCCTATTATTTTTAAAATTATAATTATTATTTTAAAAATTTTATAATTAATTTTTAAAACTTTAAAAAATATATTTTATATATATTATTATTATATATTTTAAATTAAGTTTTTTAAATTATATAATAATTTTATTTTTACTTTAATAAAGTTAAATTAAATTTTTAATATTATTAAGTAATTAAAAATTTTATTAAATAATAAAAATAATATTTTAATTATATAAAGATTATATTTATTATTAAAAAAGTTAATAAAGTTATAATAGTTAAGTTAAAGAAAATTTATATTTTAGTTTTTAATTTTAATTATATATATAATATAATTATAATAAAATCTCTCCTAAGTACAGAGGATAAACTACCTAAAAGAAACTAATTATAAAAGAACCTTTATATATACCTTTAATAAGCTACTTTATTAGCTTTTTTAATAATTTTTTTAATACCTTTACTTAGCTTAGGGTTTTTAATACTCTTTAATGAATTTAGCTTATACTTTACTTTACTTAACTTAAGTTTTTCCTTTTTTAAAACTTTTAATTATAGGTTTATAATTTTATTAATTATAGATTTAATTATTTATTTAGCTATTTTACTATTATAATTAAGTTATAGCTATTACTTTTTATAAAGGTTATTTTTTAATTAAGAAAAAGTAATTAAGGTATATTATTTTATTATATAGTTTTTTAAAAGTATTATATATATAATTTATTTTTAAGAATTATTACTACCTTTTATAACCTAACGAAAGGATATTTATTTAATTTAGTTAAATTATTAAATTATAAGTTATAGGGCTTAAAGTTAATTATATTATACTTAAACTTTATTATTTAAGCTATTTTATATACTTTAAGTTTAGTTTTAAACTTTAATATAATAATTATATTTTATAACTTAAATTTTTAAAGTTTAACTTAGTTAGCTATAATTAATTAAGTTAATCTATAGATTAATTTTAGATTTTGAACTAAAGGCTAAGGTATAGCTTTTTTTTAACCTAGTTATTATAGCTTTATTAACTCTTTTAATAATAAATATAACCTTTATAATAAAATAAAGATTTTATAATTAAAAATAAATTTATTATTATTAATAATAATTTTTTATAATAATAAAATTTTATTACTAAGGATTTATATAAAAATTAATAATAATAATAATATTATTATTATTATTACCTTAAATATTTATATAAATATAATTATTTTTAATTCCCTTATATATTTTTTATATAAAAATATTAAAAGTTAAGTTAGTAAAAAAAAGTAAAAAAGAATAAAGGATAATTATAAAGTAATTATATAATAAATATATAAGTATATAATAGTAAAATAATTATATTTATCTTTACCTTTCTTAATTCTTTTTTAAAATTATAAATCTTTAATAATATTATTACTAAGCTAAAGGTTTTATAACTTTTAGCTTATATTTTTATAATATAATTAATATATAGTTACTATATTATTATATTTTTTATAAATAGGCTTTAATATATTACTTTTTTTTCTAAAGTATTACCTTAGTACTTTTAATTATACTTCTTCTTTAACTTTATAATTAGCTTTTTTTATTAAAAATATTAACTATATTGAACCCTTAGTATAATTAAAGCTTTATATTTATTTTATTTTTATTATAAATAAGTTACTATTCTAAGTTTTTTTATTATATTTTTAAAAATAAATATAAATAAAAAATTAAATATAATAATAATTTTATAATATTTTTTTATTACTTTTATAACCTAAAGTTTTTAATATTTTTTTATAAAGAATAAAGTAATAAAAAAGTATATAACTTAAAGGGTTTTTTATATAATTATAATATAAAATTATTAATATTATTTTTAATTACCTTTACTTTTATTAATAAAATTTAATATTATATTAATATATTTACTAAATATTATTATAAAGGTAAACTTTTTAAAGATTATTAAATAAGGGTTTTTTTTTATAATAGTATAATAAACTAAGTCTTATAAATTAGCTATTTCTAAAGAATAAACTTTAGAGTAGTTCTATAGTTTATATTAGTAAAGTAATTAAATTAGTAAATAAATAATTTTATTATTAATTAATAAAGTAAAGTATTTAAATATTTAATTTAATTATTATTATATTAATAATAACTAGTTATTTAAGTATTTTAATAAGTAATATAAAATAAATTTATATATTTAATTAACCTAGCTTAAATTAATAAATAATTGATTAATTTATTATTAAATTAAAAATTTATATTTTAATCTTTCCTTAATTAATTAAAAAATTAAAGTTAATTTAGTTTAAGCTAATTTATTAATTTATTATTATAACCTTAAGAGCTAGGTTATAATATAATATTTATTTTTTATTAATTTTATCCTTAAAACTTTACTAAATTTAATATAAGTAATTACTTTCTTTTATTTTTATTAATATTTTTATTTTCTTTTATATATATATATTTTTATTAATTATTATATTAAGTATTTATAAAAAACCTTATTTTAAAATAAAATATTATAATATTTTTTTAAAAATTATTTTATTTTATTTTAGTAAAATAAAAAATTATATATATTATTTTAATAAAAAAAAGCAAAATTTCCTAAAATATTAAATATTTAAGGAAGACTTTACTTATTATATTAAATATATAAAGGATAATAAATCTTTATATAATATATATTTATTATTATTAACTTAGTTTTAAAAAATTACTTTATTTTATATTTAATATAAAATTATTTTTAAAAAAACTAAAGAAAAATATAAAATTATTAATATAAAAATTAAATATTTTTATAAATAAAAATATCTTTAGTTAAAAAAAATAACTTATATAATTATATAAAGTATTAATAATTTAAAAAAGTTAAATAAAATTAAATATAAAAAAAGTAAAGGTTATTTATTAATTTATAATATTATTACTTAATTTAATAAATTTTATAATTATAAATTTTATAATTAATATTATTAATTAAAATATTTTTAATTTTTTTTATTAAACTTAAATTTTAGTAAAAGTTATTTATAAAGTTTTTTAAATATTTAAAGTTTTTAATAATTTACTATAAGTTTTTTATTTTATTATAACTTTTTTATTTTACTAAGTATTTAATTTATTAAGTATTTTTATTAAATTTTATTATTTTAAGTTTTTTAACTTTATCTTTAAGTTTTTTACCTTAAATAATAATTTTATTTTA